GCAGGCTCCTCCCTGATGCAGGCTCCTCCCTGATGCAGGCTCCTCCCTGATGCAGGCTCCTCCCTGATGCAGGCTCCTCCCTGATGCAGGCTCCTCGATTAAATCTCTCTGCAGTTAAAGGAGCCAGATGGCCTGGGGCACAGCTCAGGGGTGGAGCACTTGCCAGATAGGATTTGACCCCAGCTCCCTCCCCTGAGGAGGAGAGAAACAAAGAAGGCTCTGGTTTCCAGAGCCTCAGAGTTCTGAGTTCTCAGAGTTCTCAGAGTTCTCGGCTCACAGCCTTGAGGTTCGGGGCGGGGCGGGGCCAAGAGGCAGCCCAGGGGCAGGTCTGGAAGGGCTCAGCTCCCTCCCTTGGCTCCTCCCTGCTTCCCGTGCGCCACATCCTGGGCCGCTCTGCCTCGCAGGCCCCTTTACACCTTGGAGCAGCCGGCTGTGGACAGAAAGCTCTGCAAACTGTGAGCCAAATAAACCCCTCCTCCCTTAAATTGTGGGTGCTGGTACTGTGTCCCAACAACAAGGAAAATAAGACAAATGTATAGGCAAATGAAAACGGAGAGATAATTCTGCCCTATGGAGAATTCTAACAAACATATAAAGAAGAAAAAGGAGTGGACAATATGCCACATGCACCCAGGGGAATACTACTCGGCCCTTAGGAATGATGCCATCTTGCTTACAGGGACACGGTGGACCTGGAGGGTGCCACCAGGGTGTGGACAGGTGATGCTGCAGGACTCCAGCTGTCACCGATGTGAAGCCAGCAGAGGGAAGGTGGTAATGGAGCTGGGTGGAGAGGCTGGCGCAGGGAGTATATTAGTCGGAGCATATAAAATCTCTGTCCAGGGCTAGCGAGATAGCTCAGCAGACTATGTACCTGCTTAGGCAAACTCAGGGAACGGGGTTCGATCCCCGATACCACATGCCTTGCCGTCCTCCCCCCCCCCCTGCGCACACTGAGCTGGCCACCCAGGCCAGGAATGGTGGGGAACTCCTGGAATCCCAGCACTGGGGAGGATGAAAATGATGGCTTCTGGCCCCAGTACGAATTGCCAAAATCATCGTGGTGGTCATCTAATATGGCTGAAGCCCTTAAAACAAAGCCCATCTTCCCCAAGAGCACCTCCCCCGTCTTCTCCAACTCAGCCCAGGACATAATTCCCTTCCACCCTTCCCGGAAGACCCCAGGCCGCCCCCTCAGGTATATCCAAACACCCCCTCCAGACCCCGCCCCTGGGAAGAGGCCAGAAAGCCTCAGCCTCGCTTTGTTCTAAGCACGAGTGTTCCTCATCCTTCCCTCGGCTTCACCTCCATCATTTTCCTGCCCTTCCCTACCGCACCAGGACTGAGCCAGTCATGACAGAACATCGGGGAAACCCACCCGAGGAACATTCCGTAAGTTAGGCGATCGCTGCCCCCCGAAGCACCAGCGTCCTCAGGAGAGCAGCCCAAGAGCCAGCCCAGCTGGGCTCGGAGGAGGTGCAGCCTTGGACTGCGCACGCTGGATTCCGGCCCGGGGAGGGCGACAGGTGGCGGTGGGCAGCAGAAGGGAGGCGCGCGCAGTCTGGAACCGCCCCCAGGTGCTGAGCTGAGGGTCCCTGTAGCGAAGCAGGGTAGTAACGGTGGAGTGGGAGCAGATGGGAGCTGGGCTTGGCTATTACCTGTACCTCTAAAATGATTTCAAGGAGAACAACTTTTATTTTATTTATTTATTTATTTTGTCTTTTTGAGACAAGGTCTCACTATGCAGCTCAAGGCTGGCCTTGAGCTCACTTTGTAGCCCCGACTGGTCTCAGACTCGCAATGAGCCTCCTGCCTCAGCCTCCCCAGTGCTGGGATTACAGGCGTGCCCCACCACACCGGCTAGGAAAACAGTGCTGAAGGGTATTATCCTCCCCACACGACCCTGCCGCAGAGAGCGCTAGTCTGTCCTCTCTACACTTCAGCTAACTGTGGTCCCCCCTCTCTCCGGAGCTGCCTGTGACCCCCCAGTAGCACATGTGCTGCTCAAGTTGGGGTGCATAGTGGGGTGCTAGGCACAGGTTTGCATCGGGAAAAGGGGACCACTACACTGAATAATGCTGTCAGGTGAAAAAATAGAAGTAGCAAGATGAGGGCTGGCGAGATGGCTCAGTGGTCTAAAGCGCCTGCTTAGGCAAGCGTGCAGGGACCGCGGTTCGATCCCCAGCACCGCATGCCGTGCCAGCCCCGCCCCCTGGTGGGCTGAGTCAGCCACACACAAAAAAAATAAATAAATAAAATAAATAAATTTTTTTTAAAAAGATGAATACACATTATAGCCCCACTTTGACATAGAACATGCAGATCATAGATTGCGGCAGCGTCTTGGAGGCTCATAAGTCTCAGCAGACCCTGGTGGTCCATGGGACACAGTATGGTGAGAAACACAGAGGCAACTCTTTAAGGAAATGTTCTTTAATGTATTTGGTACAGGGTCTCACTCCGCAGCTCAGGCTTGTATCCATCCTCCTGTTTTCAGCCTCCCCAGTGCAGGGATTACAGGCGTGTCCCACCACCCCTGGTCCTGGTGGCTACCTCAGCGTGATCGGGACGGGGCCAGCACAGCCTGTGGTGTTGGCATTGAACCCCCGCCTGTTCTTGCCTAAGCAGTCACTCAGTCCACTGAGCTATCTTGCTGGCCCAAGGAAAACATTTTTAAAGCATGTGGAAAAACCCAACATGCTAACAGTAAAAAGTCATAAGGTGACTTTCACATGCACAGTATGTACTTTCCAGGGGCCGGGGAGATGGCTCAGTGGAATAAGCGCTTCCCTGGCAAGTGCAAGGGCCTGAGATCAATCCCTGGTTCCGCCAAAATAAATAAATAAATAAATTAATTAATTAATTAATTAATTAAAAATAAAAACAAATATTCACTTTTGCATTTTTAATGTTTCAAAGAAAACCCTTAGAGCTCGGTATGGAGCCTCAGGCCGTTCCTCAACACATTTCCCCAGTTGGGCCACCTTACCTGCCACATCCAGGTCCACCTTGAAGTGGACGCTGTGGGTGTGCACCGTGCCCAGAGTGTGCTCTGCAACCCGGCTCCCATAGCGGTGGGCGGCACCGAAGAAGAACGAGGAGCTGATGTAGCCCGTGGCGTGGACTTTCACTTCGATGGCCCCGTTGGGGTGGAAGATCACGTCCCACACGTAGTCATAGTTGAGCAACGTGGCCACAGACCTGAACACCAGCACTGTCTCCACAACACCCCCATAATAATAGGAGTAGAAATCTGAGTGGTGTCGCCTCAGTGGAAGGCCCTGGTTCTGTTCAAACACACAGATGGCATCCCGGATGGTCTTGGGGGCCTGCGATTCCACCAGGAAGTGCCAGTCCAGGTAGGTGGCCAGGTAGGGGCAGTCCACTCCGCGGGTCAGGGGCGTGGAGAACCTGCCGATGCCAAAGCTGCCGTCCAAGTACTGGGTCAGTATTGCTGCTGGGGAATTTCCCCCATAGACAGCCAAGGCCTCCTGGACGCTGACCTCGTAGGCCACCCTCTCACCCTGGAAGCGGATGTCAAAGACCCTCGGACCAGTGAAGGCTCCAAGGCCAAAGGAGAAGGTCCACAAGGGGGAGGTCACGCGGCTGCCGTGGATACCGAAGCGGGGTCCCTCGGGGTGGAACTGCAGAGGGGGAGCCGGGCCCCGGGGCACCTGCGGCTTCAGGGACCACGCCCCACTGGTGCCATTGTGGGGCACCTCCACCACCTTCACCAGGCCAGCCTCAAACTGGTCCTCTAGCCGGGCCAGGCTGTCGTAGTACCGGCCCTGGAAGAACACCTTCTGGATGGTCCAGCGGGCCGGGTCCAGGGCCGCATGGTCCACCAGCAGCTCCAGCCCTATAGGGTTCAGGAAGACACCAGCGCCTGAGACATTGTAGTAGAGGCCAAACCAGGTGGCCCGGTCCCCTGACTGCAGGCCCCGGGGCGCTGTGGTCACTGTCACCAGCTGGCCTCCGTGGGGTGTGGAGAGGCAGCAGTGGTGGAGAAGCCCTGCAGCCTGAGGCAGCTCGCGGCTGAAGATCATGCGGTCGATGGCCTGGTACTCTCTGGGCAGCACGGGGCGCCGGTAGTAAGGCAGGGGGCCGCCGTAGCGCTCCACGGTGACATCCCGCAGGTAGGAAGGCTGGGGCAGTGGCCCCACCACCAGCTCGCTCACGTTGGGCTGGGCTTGAGCCCCAAAGTGCACGATGGCCAGTGCCTCCCGGGCGGGCGGGGGTCCCCCTCCATCCAGGTAGGCCAGGGCCGCGGCCTTGGGGGGCAGCTGCAGCTCCACCGAGTAGACGCAAGTGTCTGAGGGCCGTGCCTGGGCCGCATCCACCAGGCCCGGCCCCAGCCGCAGGCTCAGGAAGCCCATCACGGCTGCCAGCTCCTCCGTGCTCAGGTCTGCAAAGAGCTGGCCAGGGTCAGGGCGCATGGGGGGCACAGCTGTAGGGCCCAGGGCACCAGGTTCTAGTTGCACTCCCTTGGCACGGTCCTGTCACTGCCGGCCCTGCTGTCACCCAGTGCTGTTACCAGAATACTCCGTAAGGACAAAATCGTGAGCAGAGCCATAGCTAAAGATCAGCGGCTCCTGCCTCCCGCCCAGGAGGCAGAGGGGAGCACCTGTCAGCTGGGCACAGGATCCTCCACCTCACAGGGTCCTGGATTCTGGTTGGCTGGCAAGAGGTAGCAGGGTCATGGTCACGGTCATGGGGGGTACCTGGGGTCAGCCAGGTGCAGGTGGGACAGGGTCAGAACCTGGACTCTGGGCCACATTGGCCTGTGTCCTCCTAGGCCAAATCAAACAGCACCCTCATCTGGGTCAGGGGCACGTAGGGTGGGGTGGGAGTTGGAGCTGACAGTGGCGTCCTGGGACCTAGAGTCCTGAACAAAGAACTGGACAGGACAGACAGCAGGCAGCCACAGAGTACATGGATTGCTGAAGGCAGAATGGAAGTCCACTCCCGAGGCTGGTGACTCGGCTTCCGGGCGCAGTGTCCTGCACACCTGGACTGACCTCTGTCCACTGGAGATATGGCATTGGGACACTTGTGCCATCAAAAACTTACAGCGGATGGAAATGGAGGATCAGAAACGGCACCTTTTGGTTGGCTGTGGCTGTGTGTAAGGGAGGGGTTGGGGACAGCATCTTCTGGTTGGGCCCCAGAGTGGCAGCGGATTCTATGGAAAACAGTCTTTGTGCCCGGCAGGCCCAGGGCTCGGAACCCTAAGGCTCGTGTTGTGTTGGGGCTGGGGACCTGCGTGTGGCTTCGATTTGGAAAAGCAGCTGGCTCACCCTGCAGGAGTGGGTTGGCTGGGCTTTTCCACATGCCTCCTGGGTGGCTCTGGGGCTCGGCCCAGCCAGCCCCTGCCCCAGGCGCACCCTCCTGCCTCCTCCACTCAGGGCGCCTCTGGGTGCCCTCCCCGCCACAGCATATCCTCAGGTGACGAGTAACAGCTCCTGGAACACTTGTTTCACCAGCTGAACTTTTAGAGGGAATTCGGCATGTCTTCTCCTCCCTCATTCTTGGAAGCTGTAAGATGAGAAGTGGGCTCCTTCCAAGCCCAAGAAAAGTAGGGTCTCCCTTCTTCTTGGGCGGAATTTTAACCCAACAGCCCCTGTCTCCAGAGGCCACTCCTCCCTGACACCACAAAGACAGGGATTGGGTTTTCCCTGGCTGATCTGATCTTTACGCTTCGCAGCAGCTCTCCACAAAAAGCAGCATTTTCTATACTGTGAATTTAAAACACGCTTGAAAGCATCTTGGTAAGTATTTGAGGATCAGACACAACAGGTCTTGGGGGGAGCAGGCGCGCGCGTCCAGGCAGCGGCCACTGTCAGCAAAGACTCGCTGCTGACCACTGGAAGCTCCGGATCCCCCAGTCCTATCCCACTCTAAAGATGAGAATCCCACCCAAGGCACTGCGCCCCTAACTGGATTTCCTGCCACCTTGTGGCTGAGTCCACAGCTGGCTCCTCAGGTAAGACATAACATGATATGTAATACTACTTAAAACGCACGCCAAAACGCACGCCCTGGGCCGTGGAGACAGCTCTGCAGTCTAAGCGCCCGCCTAGGCAAATGCAAGGGCCTGAATCCGATCCCCAGGACCACATGCTGGGCCAGCCCCGACCCAGGTGCGCTGGGCCAGCCACCCAAACCAGGCGTGATGGCGCACTCCTGTAACCCGCATAGTAAGACGTGTACCAAACACATAAAATTAAAACAAAAACCCCACACCTTATGTTCCTATCAATTCCAAATGTGCAACAGAAGAGCTTCTGATGCAGACAGAGGCAATAGAAGCTCGAGAATTAAGAGAGAAAGGGGTGCTTGGCAGCAGGCCGCGTGGCCCTCAGAAAAGAAGGAAGTGCAATGTCAGCACCCCGCCACAGGGCGGCGCCGTCCGGGCCACGACAGGCATCTGGGCTGTTAAGGCTCTTAGCTGCATGTCCCCAAAGAGCCTTCCATGCAAGGCTTTTTGGAGGGCTACTGGATTCTGGGGCGTGCAGCTGCCACGCTGTTAGGAAGCAGGGTCTGCTTGGCTAACATCTTAGTTGCTTTTCTCTCATTGCTGAGACAAAATACCCAACACCCAAAATTAAGGAAGGAAAGGTTTATGTAGTTCACAGCTGGTGGAGGTCTCAGTCCGTACTCAGTGGGCACCATGAGCCAAAATATAACGGGCTCCGCTTCGATCTCAGGTGCCCGGTACTGTGTCCCAGTGAGGACAGCGGTCAGGACAGGGCAGGGCCTCTGATCACTTCCAGGTAGTGAGGGAGAAGGTTGGTCTGGTTCTCACTTAAGAGGCGTGTGCAGGTGGCCAGTGCCTCTGTCCTGGCCAGCTTTCCAAGGACAGCTCAGGGTCACCTGGTGACAGGTGTCACCAGGGTCTCATATGGGAGTGGGGATAGGGTCCCCAAAGGAGCCCCTGTCCCCCTTCCCCAAGTGTCTGACTCTCCCGTTGCCTCCTGTGAGACCTTCCCATCCTCGGAGCCAACCCCAGAGCTTGCAGGAGAGTTACTCGGAAGACAGGCCTGAGCTAGGATACGAGGAAGTAGCATGGCCAAGAAGGATGCAAGGACACTTAGACTTGAAAGAAAAGAGGGAACGAAAGGGCTGGGGAGAGAGCTCAGTGTTCTAAACACCTGCCCAGTAAGCACAAAGGCCCAAGTTCAATCCTCGGTACTACATGCAGTGCTGGTCCCAAAACCAGGCGTGGTGGTACACGCGGTAATCCCAGTGCTAGGGAGGCTGACGGGAGGATCACCACGAGTCTGAGCTGCATAGTGAGACCTTGTATCCAGTTAATTAATTAATTAACTAAAAAGAAAAAAATTACAGCTTCTGGACATGGAGATTACTCCAGCCCTGTTTAATTTTTTCTCTCTCTCCCAGGCACAATAAGCCCCAGTAATTCCCTTTTACCTGCAAATTGTCCTTTTTTGCCTGTGAACGGTCCACATCTTCTTACTGGCAAATTCCTTCCTTCCTCCAGAGAACTGGTGTTAATGGACAGTGTGGTGGTTGATGCGGTGTCAATCTGAGATATGGAAAGCTCAGCTGGATCGCTTGGTGACACCATGCCCTGGGGAGCGGTGGCCCCACCCTAGGGTGGGGAGGGCCTGCCCTGGAGGGACTCAGCGCAAAAGGTATATGAAGGAGTTGGGGAAGGCTTCTGCACGCCATTGCCTGGGAGGAGCTCAGTCAATGCAGCCCCGCCACTGTGGAGGAGCTCCGATCTTCGCAGTCAGTGTAGAAGGAGTGAGAGGCTGGCTAGGAGCCGCAGCTGCTGCCCTTCCCTTTGCTCTTTGCCGCTTTCTGCTGTCATGAACTGCTGCCCTCTGCCGTGTGCCACTCTGCCTGGGAGCCAGCTGAGTGGAAACTGAAACCTCCACAAACTGAGCTAAATAAACCCTTTCCTTCCTTCACTTTGAGTGTCGGGTATTTGTCCCAGCAACGAGTGAAAAGTAACTGAAACAGGCAGCCACCAGCTTGCATCTGGAAGAGCCCCAGATTGGCAGCCTAGGGCACATGCCCCAGCTCACCTGCTGAGGACCCCCCGGGCCCATAAAGGCACCAGATCCAATCATAATGCGCCTATCTTACTCCCAGGCCCACACTCTTATTTATTGGAGTGTGTAATTTAAGTTGCTGCCTAATGAAAAATTTACTGATGACTCCTGAAAAATCTCTTTCCCCAATGACAGTCACCAATCCTGCGACTTGACTCTCTGGGTCTGACAGCTTCCTAGGACCCTACCTGTGACAGGGCCTAATACCCTGCCCCTTGCTATATCTTATCTCTCAGTAAATAACGTGTCGTGGGCACTCTCAGCTTGAAAGACAGTTCTGTCACCCCCTATGGGTGAGACTGTGGAGCCAGTTTGGTCATGGAGCCAAGCAGCCAGGGTGTGGTGGCAGCAGGGAGCATGGGCAGGTGTGGCGCAGGCCAGCCAGGGGGTGCCATCGCTGAGCCTGGGGTGGGCCAGGGTCTGAGCTCCTTCTTTTCAGACTCTTAGAACCCCAGTGTTTCTCCAACTTCAAACCCCTTAACTGGAGACCACTCATTGCCCCAGGAGGTTGAATTAACAAAGATAACAAGGGCCGGGGAGATGGCTCAGTGGGATAAGTGCTTGCCTGGCAAGTGTAAGGGTCTGAGTTCAATCCCCGGTTCCACAAAAAAAAAAAAAAAAAAAAAAAAAGCTTACAGCAACTGTTTGCCTTTAACAAGGGACAAAAGCCATCATAGAGAAATTTACATTTGTGTTTCATGTCTGCTAAGATAACTGATCTCTTCTGGGTATTCTACAACTAAAGTTTAGAAACCCGAGCTAGAGAAATAACTAGGAGAAAAAAAAAAAAAGCCAGGTTTTGGCCCTGGCCCTCGAGGGTGAGCAGAGACCCAGGACATGGGAACCTGTTCTGCAGGAGTAAACAACTCTGGTGAGGCACCCAATCTCCTGAGTGGGGAGATCCCTGGACCACAGAGGACAGAGAGCAACAAATACTCAGAAGGCAAAGGAGGCTCACCCAGGAGAAAAGCCTCCCACGCTTCCACAGAAAGAAACATGGCTAAGCCAGACTGTGACCCACTGTGGCAGCTGACACTGACCAAGGAGCTGAGGGCTCTATACATACGTCCAAGGGCAACGCCTAAAGAGGATCCCCTGACCCTCGCGGGCAGCAGGAGGTCAGCTTTGACAAGCACAGGTCTCATTTTCACTTAGTCTTACACACGCACCAGAAAAGTATAATCGAAAGAGACAGATAAACTTTTGTCGTCTGTCTACACGCCCCCCAAAGTAGCACTTACTCACTGCAAAAGGCACCTTGACTAGTCTCTCTCCTAAATAAAAATTAAAGAGACAAGTCATCCTCCAGAATCAGATGGCCTTAGACATCCCTACAGCAGCACAAGGGCATACTTGTACCTTTATAAAAACTAAATGCGGGGTTGGGGAGATGGCTCAGTAGAATAAGCGCTTGCCGGGCAAGCACAAGGGCCTGAGTTCAATCCCCGGTTCCACAAAGAAAAAAAAAAAACTAAATGCGCAGGCTGGTGAGATGGCTCAGTGGTCTAA